GTTTAGAATTGGAGTTAGTTGGTATTTTAAAATTCAGATGGGTTTTTCTGTATGTTATTTTTCCACAAGTTTAAGCAGTAATCCATATTAATACCTGAATATGAAACAAGGTACCATTTGTGTTGAATGTGTCCTTATTAAAAAATTTTGGTAAAACAATTTTAGGATTGAAATTTCTATCTGACGCTCCAGTTGGTGTCTGTGTGTTTATATCTTTTTTTTTGGTAGGATATTGGTTCACTTAAGTGCTTCCAAGTTAAATACAAACTCATGTAATCTGTGCTTTAAATGTCATTTCATTTTTAAAGAGCACTTTTTAAATTAAAAACAAAAATCAACTTGTTTTGTATATAAGAAATGGTATAAATTCATAAGTTTTAAAAACTAATAAACTGAGGACTGTTCATGAACCATAAAAACCAGTTTTTATGTGCTTTATGTTATCTCAGAAGGTAATTTTAAGTTGTAAGTTAAAAGCCTATCCACTTCACAGTAAAAATTCTAGTGAATTAAAGTATGTCATAAGAATAAAAATCTTTATACTTAGGATCTTATTTATTTGACCAATCTGAAAAGTCATAGAGTAAGAAACAACATAGTGCTTTAAGTATTGTTTAGTATCTCTCAACATTAAGGTCTTAATAGTAAACAAACAAAAGCTATCCAGTGCAGTGAATGAAGAAACAAGGTAAAACCAACTTCTGCCTGTCTTATATTGACCTCTTTAATTCCACACACTGCTTCTTCATTCAGCCAGCATTTTTTAAAATTTATGCATGCACAGCATTGTGCTAGACACAATGAAGAATATAAAATAAATAAAAGACAAGGTCCTTTTCCCCCAGGAATTTATTGTCTAGTAGAAGAGGCAAAATACAGATGAAGCAGCTAGGAATAATCACAAAGCAACATCTTCCTAATAATTAAGTGTTTTAAAATAACAAAACAAAATAAGCTCATCACATCCTTAATCAATAATATAAGGTCAACTAAGAAAAACAAACTATAAAGAGCCTGTGATATTCTCTGTGCCATCAAACCGACCTATTTCCTATTCTCCATATATGACATTCCATCTTCTATTTCCTTGTCTTTGCAGAGACATTGTCTTTATAGTTATCCTGAATATACTTATATATGTGTTTTTTATCTCCCCCATTAGAATGTAAACTCCTTGAGAGGAGTGAGCTTTATTTGTATTTATATCTGCAGACTGCCTAGCACAGTACCTGGTATGTAGTAGGCACTTTAAAAATGTTTGATTTGACTGATAGGCATTTAATGAATCTTTTTTAAAATCAAATTGAATCTTTAAAATGAGGGAGTTGAACTAGGTGATCCCCAAGGTGCCCTCCAGATGTCATGTTCTATATAAATTGATACAATATGCAGAGATAGGGCTAATACTATGTAAGATCTCAATGCTAAGAAAATAAATTAGGCAAAGGTGTGGGGTTGAGGCAGGGACCAAAAGAAATCAGTGAGGAAAACCACTTAAGGGAGGTGAAACTTTAGTTAGGTGTTGAAGGAAATGTAAGGTTTGGATGGGTGATGAACATTTCAACAAATTTTTATTGAGCATCGTTAACTGTTTTCAAAAGAATACAATGAGGAAGAAGTACCTGTGCTCAGAAGCTCACAGTCTAGTAGGTTTTTGCTGCTTTTTAAGATAGGCAAACAACACATGAGGTGGATGTGATGTGATAAGTGTCATAAAATATATATTACTGGTGTCAAGAGAAAGTAGAGATCACATAGGGTATTAAGAGGATCTAGGAATAATGGAAGAGGCAGCATTTAATTAGGCGCTTGGAGTATAGAATAGCTAGATATTCAGACAGTAAATTTTAGGTGGAATGAACAACATGAATAAAAGGATAAAGACAGGAAGGTGCAGGCAGTGTTCAGCAAATAGTTTAAATAGAATGTTTGCTGTGGAAGAGATAAGATTGGGAAAATATGGTGGGATCATTATCTTTCTCCCTAGATAGCACTTAATGAAATTACTGCTACTCACTATGTTGGAATAATTTCTCTTCTGATGGATGCATTGGGATTTTTACCTACTCTTAAGTTCCCCTGTACCTCATTTTCTTTCTGATTCTGGTGATAACTCAGGCAGAAAAAGTTAATTCATCAGCATGGTGATGTAGTTGTTCTTACATTTGACAAACTTTTGACCTATTATTTGGTTAACAACACAGGGCATCTAGGTGGTGCCATGGGGAAGAGTGATGGATCTGGAGTCAAGAAGACCTAAATTCAAATCCTGCCTCACACATTTATTAGCAGCATGATTCAGGACAAGTCATTCCTCAGTCTCAGTTTCCTCATCCATAAAATGGAAATATCACCTGCCTTGCAGGGTTGTTGTGAGGATCAAATGAGATAACATATAATAACTATAATGATAAAAGCTAGCATTTATATAGTGCAACAATGTGCCTGTGCCAGGTACTAAGTACTTTTTATAAATCAACTTCCTTGATATACAATATTCCTATGAGGTAAGTGCTTTTATTATCTTCATTTTATAGTTGAGGAAACTGAATCAGACAGAGGTTAAGTGATTTGCCCAAGGTCACACAGCTAGTAACTCTGTCTGGGGCTGGATTTGAATTCAGGTCTTACTGACTCCAAGCCTAGAGTTTATCTATTGTACCACCTAGCTGCCTAAGGTTTTGCAAACCATAAAGCACTATATAAATATATCACCATCATCATCATCATCATCATTAGACAGTACTGGAATGGTTGTATTGAATTGCATACCAAACAGAAGACTTCCCCCCTCATCATACTTAACATTTTTTCAGATGTTAAAGTTTCAAGGTGGATGATACAACCTTGACAAAATTCTCTGTTTTTAGAGAAGAGAGTCTCAGGATCTTCATTTCTCTGTCCCACAAATTACTTTATGTAATTAAGGTTTACTGTTTCCTGTACATATGGAGAACTAGCAAAATATTTACCTTATACTTAGCAGTGACCGGCGTTTCCCCTGTATGTTTTGCAGCTCCTCTCCTCCCACTTCTCTTGATCCGGGGTTGACACTAGAACCTTACGCCATATTGTCCCCAGAGCTTTTGAAGTTTAACCTCCAGCCACTCAGTAGAAAGCTTGACAGATAGATTCTACTTCACCAAATGAAGCTCTTTGAAGCCCATAATTAGAGTAACCATGCAGGAAGTCACACACAGAGTCAAGTTTGTTTGTTATGTTTTGTTAATCTCCATCTCTTCAAGATAGTTATGTTTACTTGTTATACTGGCAGGGATATGACATTTTCATTGATTACTGGTCATATTTTTATATTACCTCTTTTAATGTAGATTCTCTGTTAGATTAGGAAAGGAAAAAAATAATTGTTCAAGATGGAATGGGTGTCTAATAAAGGAGTACTGGGCCAACCCACAGTCAAACATTCCTCTCCAGAAGGGCCTTCTCTACTGTTTTGAGGGAAAGTTGTTGTTCAGTTGTTTTCAGTCCTGTCCAACTCTTCGTGGCCCCGTTTAGGGTTTTCTTGGCAAAGATAGAGGATTGGTTTGCCATTTCCTTCTCCAGTTCATTTGACAGATGAGGAAACTGAGACAAACGGGGTTAAGTTACTTGCCTAGAGTCACACAGCTAGTAAGCATCTGAGGCCAGCTTTGAACATAGAAAGAAGAGTCTTCCTGACTCCAGGCCTGGCACTATCCACTGTACCACCAGCTGCCTCTGTTTTGAGGGAATGCTATTGCACTAATGTATATGATCTAGTACCATATATACTTTTTGCGTAGTTTCTCAGGACAGAACATCTTGGTATTCTATGCCAGGGGTAGGGAACCTGCAGCCTCAAGGTTACATGTGGCCCTCTAGGTCCTCGATTGTGGCCCTTTGAACCCAAATCCCCTTAATTAAAGGATTTGTTCCATAAAACGTGGACTCAGTCAAAAGGCCACACTCAAGGACCTAGAAGGTCACATGTGGCCTCGAGGCCGCAGGTTCCCCATCCCTGGTCTATGCCTACTGAAAAGTCACTATGCTAACTACTGGAGGACCCAAGAAATATAAGAAAGACAGTTCCTGACCTGAAGTTTATATTCTAGTGCTAGTGAGAAAACAAGTACACAAATACCACATAATAAGGTGGGATGTGATAGATGAGACTGTCTTTGTAGCAAGGAACATAGAGTGGAGTTCTTCAGGAAAAGCTAATGTTCAGGACGCATAGTATTTTGCTGTTACAATACATCCACTTTTCTGGCAACTACATTATTCTGCTCTTTTCTTTAGAAATCCTGACTACAAATCAGCCAGAGTATTCCTTCCTTCATTAATTTAAATACACCCAGTTAAAATAAACATTTACTTCTTGGCACTTAAAGATATGCTTAGTACATACAGATACTTTAAGAAAATAAAATTCTCAAGACATAATTACCAGGGTTTATGCCAGTTAAGAACTAGACTATAGGGGCAGCTAGGTGATACAGTGGGTAGAAGACCAGCCCTAGAGTCAGGAGGACCTGAGTTCAAATCCAGCCTCAGACATTTGACACCAGCTGTGTGACCCTAGGCAAGTCACTTAACCCCAAATGCCTCACCAAAAAAAAAAAAGAAGTAGACTATAACATTTTTAGTATAGCAAATTTATTATTATAAGTTGGTAAATTTCCTTGCATTACCCTTTTAGAATCATTTAGCATTACTGTCATATACATTCTGTCAGATAACCCACAATAGAAATACAAGCAACTTAAAATGTAATCTCTACAACATTTAGGAAAACAGAAATGTGTGATCTGAGAGATTTTTTTTTTGTTTTTTCATAACTGCTTTCCAAAATATTGTAGTTATGAGAAATGCAAGTACTATTAGGTTGTAAAGAATCTGAGATAACATAGTATTAACTCATTAGGTTTGGATTCCATTAACCATAAATAATGAACATTGTCACTAGTATGCTAGAGATCATTAGATAATTTTAATATGGCCAATTATGACATAATTCCTTCTATGAAACCAACTGGAAATATGAACACTTGTATTTAAATGTTTTGATTGGAAATAAAAATTAAGCTAGTGTTAAAAACTCAAATTAAGTCTACATAATACACAAGGCTTACCTCCAGAAGGAAATAGGGATTTTACCTGAATTATTGAGATAACTCCCAGTTTATTTGTGCTTTTATTTCAAAGACTGCCTCAACATAGTGCAGTACAATAGTTATTTAATCAGTTTAGGTTAAAAGAATATTGATTTTCCTATTGGCTTCATTCTTTTAAGGTGATAACAGAATCAATGTTACTATTTGGATTTCTAGTGTTAAGGAAACATTTTGGAAACTTTGACAGTAACAACTATTTTTATATTTGGTCTTCATAGTTTCAACAAAGACTAAAAATAGAAGTGTTGAAATGTTATTTCATAATATCAATGGGGTTTTTAAAAATAATTTCAGTTTGATGGTTGATGTTTGAACTGTTTTTTTTTTCAACCAGAAAGAGAACACATTTAATTTTGTAACATATATGTATATGCATATATGTATATATGCATATATATAATCTGATTTCAGATTCTGTTTTTATATGTCATCTATTTGAATTGATTCTAATTATGTAGCCCAAACTTGTAGTTTTTTTGTTGTCTCTCCAGACTTTATAGAAATTTAAAGTTTCTACCTTATATTGGACTTTTTAAAGTTTTCAAAATCTGTTTTTCTGTGTATTAATAAAAGATGAGCAAAAAGTGGCCAGCCACAGTGTTTGATTTCTTCTCATCTTTTTCAGTGAGAAGAAGCCTTTTTAAGGAAATACTTTCTTTAAACAATATATTCGCAATAATAAAATATAATGGGAAAACATTCATATTTATCAAAGGCCATCAATAGAATGTATTACTCAAGGACTCCTTTTGAGAAATTTAAACTGTTTCATTTGCCTGTTACTTATGAATATAAAACAAAATTTTTTAAAATAATATCAGCTCCTTTCCATTCCCCATCTCCCAACCCTCTCATCTCTTACAGTTATCCTCTGAGTTGGAGGGACAATGACCACGATATCACCCTGACAGTCCAATGAAACCAAGCCAAGCCCAGAATCTAGCCCCCATGCTGCATCTTGTATTTTCTAAGGATCTGTTATTTCATCATCTTCAGGCATTTAGATTGTAAACCCTATACAGCTTAACAGCTCTGAAAGATCACTTAACTTGGCAGAAAAATCCATCCCCCTGCAGTTAGCCTGGTGATAAGTTCTTCCAAACTTGGCTGTGCTGATCTTCCAACAACAGACACAGGCATTTAGCTTGGAAGACCACGCCAGAGGTTATGCCTCACTGATTGTCACCATACTATGAGGCAGCACTCAAGTAGAATATGAATGGCAGGAAATCATCCAAAACCTTTCCATTACGCTTTATCTTCAGTGGCAGTTCCATATGAGCATAAAAACACTTCCAGGTAACACTACAGAGAGCAGTTATCATTGCATATAAATTTATCAATTAAAGAACCAAGCACTGTGTAAGACCTTGTGCCTTGATTATCCATTTCAGTCAATTCATAGAATTCAATGTATTTCTATTGATTCTCATCTTTGTTGAAATGTTTAGTAGAAAGTTATTTTCTTTTATACCTAAAATAGCAATGAGGTTAAAACAAGAGATAACTGGTACTTTGTACATTTTACTGCCTGAAAAATATGCAGAAAATTTTAGGAAAGTTCAGTATAACTATATTTTTTTTAAAAGCCATTTTAACAGGAACTGATTACACTGATTGTTCAGAATACTTCAATCTAAACAGGATTACCATTGAGGGAGGGGGAAGTGCTCATTAATCACAGATTGATGGTTTATTAGCATTGTAACTGGGATGGAAGTTCAATCTATCATAATACGTGATGAAATTAGCAGTGCCTGTCACAATGCTCTTGTCAGTGTAGACATTAAAACTGTTGTTTCTGTATAATCCACAACTTCCATAATGTTGAGAAAACGTGTGTGGTGCAGTATGAAAACTTTTCTGAAATTAAAAAAAAAAAGAAAACTTTGATTAGTAAGGATAACAGTTTATTTATAGTGCTTTGCAAAGCATTTCTTTCACCACAACCCTGACTGCTAGGCATATAGTACCTACTGTTGATAGGTATTACAGGTAAGGACACTCGACTGTTGAAAAGTTAATTAACTTTCCCTTCATCACTTAATAGTTACCCAAGGTCACATAGGTAGTAAGTGGCCAAGCCAGGATTAGAACCCAGTTTTTCTAGCTCTGTCTGATGTACTTTATGCTTTATGAAATTCTCTCAATATCTGCATTACTAATCACTGGGATACCACCATATCAGTATCAGTGATAAAGTCTTTTCAGAAATAAAATGAGTTCTAAATCTTCATGATACAATTTTATGTAATATTATTTAGGCCTACTAGGTGGCACAGTGTTCGATAAAGTCTCAGGCCTGGAGTCAGGAAGACTCTTCTTTCTGAGTTCAACTCTGACTTCAGATACTTACTAGCTGTGTGACCTTGAGCAAGTCACTTAACCCTGTTTGCCTCAGTTTCCTCATCTGTCAAATGAGCTGGAGAAGAAAATGGCAAACTGCTACTCTATCTTGGTCAAGGAAACCTCTTAATGGGGTCACAAAGAGCATGATTGATTATTTACTAGGCCTATTAAAGTAAGTGACACTGACCTTTATCAGATATTCTACTCAGACAATATATTTAATAGACTGTTTTTAAGAACAAGTGTTACTATTACTAAAGGTGATGCAAAGACGGCACCTGTCCCCATGATAAGTCAAAGAGAATTTATTAAGTACTTACTATGTGCCAGGCACTATACTACAAAGAGAAAGGCAAAAAAAATTTTTTTAAATGGTGCCCCCTCTCAAGAACCTTACATTCTAAGGAAGCAAACAACATGTAAATAACTAGGTATATACAAAATATATATAGAGTAGATGGAAGGTAGTTTCAGAAGGGAAAGCACAAGGGCGGGGGGGAGTGGAGTGAGAATGGGAAAGGCTTCCTGTAGAAGGTGGGAGTTGAGCTGGGTTTTGAGGAAAGCCCAGAAAACTAAGAAGTAGAGGTCAGGAGGCCAAGCATTCCAGACATGGGAGAAAGCTAATGCAATGGCACTAAGATGAGAGATGAAGTGTATCAGTTAAGTCTAAAAAGGTAGGGTGAAGCCAGATTATAGAAGAAACCTGGGAATGATAGGCAAAGGAATTCAAACTCTGAATAGGTAAGGGGTCTCTATTCAATCTATTATATTATTTTCATTGATTCTCTTAATGGCTCTTAAGTATGTTTTGTCTCCCAAGTCTCAAAACAGCAGAGAGCAACCCTCTCTGACCCTAATTTTTTTTTTGTACAGCATATTTTTATTTCCTATTTTCATACAGAAAGGGAACTTTGAAAACAATGACACCAGCCTAGTTGTACAATAGCAAACACATAACTTCTCAACTTCAGCTTGTTAGTAAATTCTCTATTCAACACTGTCCCTCCATATTTCTGTGAAAAAAAGAGTAACTATTACTCAAATATAGGTTTTTTAAGGGAATCTTTCACCATTTACATTTTTTTTAACCTTTGGAATATTCAGTAATAATTCTAAAGAGAGATCTCAAAGATCATTTAATTCAGTACCTTCGTTGTGAATAACTCAAATAATAGCACAGTGCCTGACACACAGTAGGTACTTAACAAATGCTTGTTTGATTGATTAAATAATCTATATGTTGTTATGTTTTACTTGACTTGAAAGTAGAGAGTAATTCAGACAAGGAAACAGGCCAGGAGAGCTGATGTGCCTTCCCTTAGGGGTGGGGGTGAGGAGTATGGATCACAGAATGAGTCAGTGTCAAAACCAGGAGTAAAATCGAGACATCCTGTCTCTTAGTTCTGAGCCCTTGCCCACTATATCACTCCTTTCATGTTACCACTTTTTGTGGTTTCCACCTCCACCTCCTCTCCTCTCCCCCCAATTTGTCTGTCTTTAAATCAATGCCTAAAATGTTTAGTCTCTTGTCCCATAGAAACCTAATGTCTCTCCTGAAGCCCATCTCATACTTACAGGCATTTCATGTACAGTAGGTGCTCTGCTACCATAGGTTTGGTTAGATGTCCTGTATACTGGATGAGTTTCCTTAATCCTATTAGATAAAAAAACACATTTTATTATGCATCCTAGTAATTTGTCTAAACCATATCCCAGATCACTTTAGGGACAATTTTTTTTTTTTTGTCTAGAATAACACTAGGAGAATCTCCTAGAGGGATCCCTTAGAGAGGAAGGGAAGGAAGTTGAGAACTACCATTGTTCAGTACTGACTTCCCACAAGAAAGAGAAAGGAAGCAGCTGGAATGGACTGTCATTTTCTCCCTATGTCTGGCTATGCCGGATTAGGTTTCTATGGCCTTTCCCTGCCACCACCTCCCCCCCACTACTTCCAACAGCCTAAACAACATCCCCAACCCCCACCCCCCACCCCAGGCCAGCCTTTCCTCCACTCTTCTTCAATTTATAGAGATTAGCTCAGATGAGTATCAGTTGGAAAGTTCGGTGTCTTCCTGGAAGGCTCTGGGAATACTCCATAGATATATTTTTCCTTGGAGAGGCAGAATTTTGGATTAGTAGGGCAGAGCCAATGTCCACTGCTTCTGGATAGGCTTCCAGGTTGATCTATTGGCCCCTTCGACTTTGGAGCCTTTTCAGGGACTACTTCAAGGAGAGGTATATTTGGAGCCTATATATATAGTGTGGCTTAAATGCAGCCACTGTGGAAACAGGCTGAGGCCCCTAACAATTTATTTCCCTAATTTAGAAGGATAGTTTTTGATCCTGTTACTTCTGTGTCTTCTAGTTAGGTAGCCAAGGCATGTTAGGCTAGACCATGACATTTTGCTTTTGAAGGCCTTATCACTAGTTCTTATTCTGTAAACCCTCCCTGCTTCCCATCTTTTTACAATATTATCCCCATAGGATTCTGTTTCTCACCTGTAGCCCTGAAACCACCCAGGGTTATTGAACCTGGCCGGCAAATTGTGGCTCACTCGGTAATAATCACTGGTTTTCTCCAAATAACCTTCTGCCTTTTGTTCATTGTAGTCAGAAGAGTATTGAGGGACTTCCTGGGGCATTTTCCCTCCCGTGTAACCGAGCAACAATTTGGGAGGAAACACAAGAAAGCAGCGAGGCAAAATTAAGCTGAGTTTTTCAGGGCAGCAAACATTCTGTTGCTAAGCAACTTAGAACTTGACTTGAAAGTACCTTGTTCTTAAAGGTACAACACAATTCCATGCCATTTTCAGAACTCCGTTTATGTAACAATTCATTTTTATTTTAGATTGACAGGCTATGTTCTTTAAGATGGTGTAATAATAATCTTTTTTGTTCCTTGGAGAAAATACACATAGGATTCCCATAAACATTTATGGAATCAAGGTCCATTTAAAAATTAATATTGTAACAAAAAACAACAAAATAAAAATTAATATTGCTCATTTTTTATTAAGACTTTATCATTCTATGGGCCCAAATAGCCAAGTACATTAATATCATTGTTTTTAGGGTGGAAATCTCCTGTTGATGTGACAGACATCTATAGGAACAGTTTTCTGGATAGAGTCTCCAATATAATTCCTTGTTTCTTAAGAAATCCAATGAAGTCGTAAATGCCAAGTCACTAAAATCACTAGCTTCACATGATTGTTTCACCACCATCAACATTGTGGCACCCCTCCCCCCCCCCCCCCCCCCCCCCCCCCCTTTTCCCCCCCCCCCACACTGTGGCCCCCTCCACCCCCCCCCCACCCACACACACACACACAGTGTCCCCAGAATAGCTACCCCAGGTTCAAGATTCTTTCAGGTTCACATCCACAAAAATAATAATAGATCAGGATCCTCCACAGATGTGTCTATTTTTCCTCTACTCTGCCACAGGACACAGTTGAAAACAAAGTAATTTAATGCTCCACAAATGGGACAAGGTATGTCTGCCCAGCCTGTCACTCCATGCCAAAGCATTTCTTCTGGGCCTGCCAGTTGCATCCCTCCTATGGGTTGTTGGGCTTCCCTCTTATTTGCTGTCCCTTCAGAGTCCATGGGGCCCCTTTCTGCTGCATGTAGCATTTCTGCCTTCTGGTCTTCATTCTGCTGAAGCAGAGGGTCTTAATCTTTTTGTGTGTCATGAAGCCCTTTAGTAGCCTGGTGAAATGTGAGTACCCCCCCTCAGAATAATATTTGTTACCTACATTCATAATTGAAAAAATTATATTTCAGTCAGGGGTTAATGAAAATAAATATATATTTTTAACCATCCAAGTTCATACAGCCCCTGAAATCAATGAGTTTGTGGACCCCTAAGTTAAAAACTCCTATGCTAGGGTATAGTGGCTAGAACCTTCCACTCCTCCCCCCAGAGTTAGCTCCAAGTTCTTTAGTGATGGTCACCACAAGGGGTTAATAAAATCCTGGCAGACTGCCCCCTGGACCAGAGATCAAAGCCTTCCGTTACTAATCTAATAGGGTTAGCCACTCTTACAGATCCCCAAGACTCTCTCTAGCTTAGCTGCAAATAAATTTAAACCAGGACAGAAGATAACACAAGGAGATAAGGTCTGCATTATCTGCCCACCTAGCCTATATTTTAGTTTTTATCACGATTATCTGTACTTTAGCCACCAAAAAATCTGTCTCCCTACACTGTTTTTGTTATTATTATATATATGTTTTACAGCTCACCATATACGTAAATGGCTGGTACATTAAGTCATTAAAACTAAGTGTGTCCTGTTGAATCCACTTATGCCAGCCACCTATGAAGAGATGAATTTCTAAGTTCCCTTCCAACTCTGAGTTTCCATAATTCTTTAATTCCAACCCCAGGTATTCAAATCTCACTTTTCAAGATCCAACTCAATCTTATCTTTCTTGAGCTCTCTGCAGCCTTTGACACTGTTAATCAGCCTCTCCTCCTGGGTACTTTCTCCTCTCTAGATTTTGGTGTTACTGCTCTCTCCCTAATCTCCTTCTACCTGCCTAACTGCTTCTTCTCAGTTTCCGTTGCTGATCCTTTATCCAGATTATACCCTCTTGGCTGTGGGTATCTCCCATGGCTCTAACCTGAACCTCTTTCTCTTTTCCTTCTATCCTATCTTGCTTGTTAATCTCATAAACTCCCATGGATTCAACTATCATCTCTATGAAAAATGATTCCTTTCCTAGATCTCTATATTCAGTCCTAATTTTGGCAGGCCCATGTTACCAGTTGTCTCTTAGACACTTCAAATTGGAAATCTCTTAGGCATCTTAAACTCAGCATGTCCAAATGTTGTTGCTGTTCAATTGTTTTCAGTGTATAACTTTTCATGACCTCATTTGGGGTTTTCTTGGCAAAGATAGTGAAGTGGTTTATCATTTCCTTCTCCAGATCACTTGACAGATGAGAAAACTGAGGCAAACAGGACTAAGTGACTTACCCAAGATCACACAGCTAGTGTCTGAGACCAGACTTGAACTCAGGAAGATGAATCTTCTTTTGACTCCAGGCCCAGCACTCTATGCACTGCAACACCCAGCTGCTCCAATCTCCCCCACCAAACCTTCCTCTCTTCCCAACTTACTGTCCCTGTTACTGTCCAAGGCAACTATTTACCTCACTTAGACTCCAGTCACTTAAGCTCATAAACTAGATAATCTCAACCCCTCTCCAGTACTCTAGTATACATATCCAATCTGTTGTCAAATACTGTCATTTTTACCTTCATATTTTTCATATATGGCCCTTCTCTCCACTTATACAGCTACTATGCTGGTACAAACCCTTATCACCTCACTCCTGAACCACTGCAATGGCCCAACAATTGGTCCATCTTCCTCAACTCTCTGCCCACTTCAATCTATTCTCCACTTAGCTGCCAAAGAGAGCAAAAGCACAGGACTGACCATATCACTTCCTCACATACTCAATAAACTCCATTGGCTCAGTATTACCTCCAGGATCAAATATAAAATCCTTTTTGGCTTTTTAAGCCCTTCACAATGATCTTGTAATCTGCAAATCTAATTGCCTTTGCTCAGTTCTCATCCTTGACCTCTGCAGCCTTTGATATTCTATCACTCTTATCTTTGATAATCTCTTCATTCTAGGTTTTAATAACACTGCTGTCTCCTGGTTCTCCTTTTAGCCCTCTGCCCACTTTTTCTCAGCTTCTTTGTTGCATCTTCATCCAGACCTCACCCACTAACCTTGGGTGTCCCATACAACTCCACCCTGGGCTGTCTTCCCTTCTTTCTCCATACTGTTTCACATGGTGATCTCATAAATTCCCATAGATTGAATTATCATCACTATGCTGACAATTCTCAGATCTACATATACAGCCCTAACCTCTCTCTCTCTCTCTCTCTCTCTCTCTCTCTCTCTCTCTCTCTCTCTCTCTCTCTCTCTCTCTCT